CAGGAAGCGAGACAGGACGAGTCTAATATGTTATAGTCCTTCTGTCGGCTCACTACAAGTACCATTCGTTGCTTACGAGCTAGGAGAGCTGACTCGCTGTCTACGACGATGACGACCCTCGGCAGCGTCGATATTGGCTACTTGTTCTGCTAGGGCGCTTCTTCGAGTCGTCTTTGAATGCCGCTTAATCCGCTGTGAATCAATATCAGACGAGAGCGAAGACTGACGCTCCCATTCAATCATTCAATTGGTTCCCCCAAGGGAGAGCACGATTGCGGGCGATGGGGCGGATGAAAGCGGTTGAATGGACTAATCGTTCGGGGAAAATCTACCTTATATGACCAGGGTTTCGACTGGCATCCCCTGGAAACCAAGGAAACTCGACGACACTAGACTGCTGGAACATCAGCGGCGTGTCGCAGTGTACCATACTTGGAAATGCGGTAATCCTCGATTACATCCACCGTGAAGAGTAGGTGAGATTCGGAGTTTCCAGTATACCATCGTCCGTAAGGTGGGGTCGAAGTACCTAATTAGTTTGGTCTTGTTGGACAGAGATCCGGGGGGGGGGGGACATTGGCTAGCATATGATAGAGGCAGTTCTTCATGTATACGGTTAGCACTTCCTGTAAGCTCGCCTTAATGTGCGAGTCCAATTGGTCGGCTGAGAATTAGAGTCCAGAGCCGCATCCTCATTTTTCCTTTGCACAGCCTGGCGGAGGAGGCTGATTCCGCCCAAGGCGTATCATGAGGCGGTACTGAGTGAGATAAGAAGCTGGATTGAAAGATCGTCGGCTTGATGAATGCCCTGGTGAATGGCTCTTGAAGAAACTTTGTACCCACCCGATGGCTCGTGATGGATGGCTTAGAATCCAGTTTTTGGGGGAACAGGTTCTTTCTCGATCGTTGTTCTCAACTCTCGACGCGGAAGTCACGCCGGGGATGAGAGCACGGCTCCGGAACATCGTGCTCCGTCGCGAGGTCTATCTAAAACGGATGGTGGCGGAGTTTTTCTCTCTGTCCTTCTCTTCGTGCGAAAGAAGTTTGCCGAAGAATTTCGGCAAGATTCCCGTTAAATAACGTTGACGGACGGAGAACCTCATTTTATGGTGGCTGCCGAAACGCTTCGAACAGCGATGACTCGACGCTTTGCAGAGGTCCCTTCGAGTGTCTATCCAACCGACGACGGGCGGTTCCCTTCCGTCCGTCAGCGAGTCGGGCCTCCATTTTCGGTGAGCTCTACGGACTCAGTCAAATCGAGAAGACGTTTCTAGAAGAGGGATGGAGGAAAACGGAGCGAACGAACGCACTCACCAACCGGCGAAGAACATCGAAATGAAGAAAGTTTTAATGATTTCCCTCCGCTGCTTGTTCCAATCTCTCGACCGAGATCGGCTGGGCTAACCCAGCGCGTCGGCTTGCGGAGAGGAGAAAGGAACTCTATCGTCGTCGATGGATAGTCGGCAGGCCGGGCGGCCGGCTGGTCGGACCGCGGCGGGCCGTCGGAGCGACCGACTCGCCGGAGAACGATCGTACGACGAAGCAGCAGACGGTCATCTTTTGATGACATTGTTTCCGAGATTTCAGATATTGGATCCGCTCGTTCCATCAAGAGCAACCTTGGTCTCTGCGCTCGGCGAAGATCCCTCTCTATACATTTTCCCTCATCGGTACAACAAGCGATCCCGGAGGAGTCGCTCGGGAGCGCTTGTTGGACCGCGCTCCGTGTGCGCGTTGGACGTGATCCCAAATCTTGACATGTTTCCCCGCTTGACGCGGGTCAGATTACGTGCAGGGCGATCTCGCCCATAGGGAACGAGAGTGCAAATGCCTCGTTCCGCTTTAGGTACCCAGTTGTCGTTACCACGCGTCCTCATCGTCGTTTCAAGAAACCATTCGTTTCGGACATGGACCGCCTTCGAAAATGACACGCGAATCGATCTAAACTCGAGGAGGATCCGTTAGCTCTGATAAAGCAATTCTCCCTGGAAATGAGGGACAAGGGTGGCTTTGCGAAAACGGAGCGGGGTTCGAGTATCTACGGCGGTGGATGACGAAGCATTTGAGGTAACGAAAACTTTCGAAATATCCTGAGATAGAACTCGACAGTCTCAGGGATCCGGATGGAAATACTGTCTGAGTTGGGCGGGAGCACTGTTCCCCGTTTCTGTGAAAACTCGACTCTGTCGAGCCTCTCAACACCAACGCCTTCGACACCGAAATCTTCGGGTCTTTCACGAATTCTCCGCTGTGTCCCCCTCCGTTTCTCGACGCTAATAATTCTGTTTACCACTACCCATTCCCATCACCCCGCCGGGAAGGTCCTGCGACGGCGGCGCTGAGCACCGAACGAGGGTCATTCCTACCTGGCGGGAGAGTATCGGTTGTGGTACAGGTATGTGGCTGACCAGGGAGGCAAACAGATGCAGGTCGGCCCTGCAAACATGCTGCCGGGATGGCTTGGTCATTCCTCCTTCCGTTCCTTGATTTGCGCGTTGTCGTTTCCCAAATGGAGCAGGAACAGGAGCAGAAGCAGCAAAGGCGACCATCGAGTCGGTACACCAGAGCCGCTCAGGCAAGGAGACCACCGACAAATAGAATTAAGCTAATATTGCGACGGAAGCCGCAACCTCTTGAGGAGCAGCAAGGGAGCAGCAAGCGACCGGAGCAACAGGGTCGATCGTCCCCTTTCCGTCCCCCTGCACCGAGTGAAACGGTATGGCCCATGGGATGGAGCCGTCGGCCAGACATCCACTCAGTCAGAGGCATTTCAACGCTCTGAGACCGTTTCCGGTGCTCGACGACTCTCGGTTTGGGGGCGCAGATATCTCGTCCATTTAAGCCATGAGACGGCGAAATTTTGTCCCGGCAAGGGTCGAGAAGAGAAAAAGGCATCGCATCGGGCAGTCATCCACAGGATTGGCGTAGGAAAACCACCGGGAGCTTGATCGCATTGTATAATGTCTTTCATTTCGCCTCCCATTGGCCTCATCACGTCCCGTTGCCCGCTTCCCGGAGGCTCGGGGCCCGTTTCAGTCGGCCGTGGCCGAGGCTATTATGCATCGGTGTTTGTCCGAAAATAATGGAATTATGAGCCTCGGTTCCCGTGGGCTCCTCGGAGAGTCCTCGTGAGTCTTCCGTGAGCTTCCCATTGAGGAATTCCGGGTACCGTATCCTGAGCCGAGACCGTCCGCACGAGACACGATCGGTTCACGGAGGGGGTCCCACGAATCGGTCAAAGGGGGCTCATTGCTACGAGCCCTCTGTTCTCTTCCATTTCCGACAATGCGTTTTCCGACTCCCAATCCTCCGACGCGTTCCCGATCCATCGAAGCACCCACACCGATCAGGCGGCTAGTCGCTCGATCAGCCAGGAGGAACCGACAAACTTGACTTGATAGCGGTCGACTGGCTCCGATCTATAAATAGCCGGGCTGGCCAGCGAGTAACCAGCAGGCAGGTGGGTGGCAGTTCCTTCACAAGCACCTCATGAGACATTAAGAACAGAGACCGTTGCTGCTGCTGCCACAGTGAGCGCTCGCCTGCTCACAACTATTTACCCGCATCCCACGGCTTCCTCCACCACTATTATCCGGCTTCGCGCCCAACAAGCGAGAACCGCAGAGAGCTTCTTCTTATTCAATGAGCGGATCCTCAGCTTGTCATTCTGATGGTGGGCCACTCGAGTATTGGGCGTTACGGTCGGTGACTTTTTCGGCACTCGACACCGGGCTCGGGAGTGAGAGGAGGCACCCCACGTTAAAGGAGGGGGTCTTGTCCCATCCGCTTCTTGAAGCGTATATCCATGTTCCTTGATCTCAGTCTATCGAACGGACGATACATATTCGATGGAGACGTGACAGTGACGCAGCTGTTCCTCTAGAGGGAATGCTGGCGAGGAATGCCAGCAGACAAAGGGAGAAAAAATGCGCCCTACAACTGTGCAACAAAGTTTACGTAGAAAGCAGGCGGCCGAACGAAGCAATCAAGTCGACTCGAAGTCAGGTAATCGACTCACTTATCGCATCCGTCGGTGCGTTCTTCCTCCCTCGGCCCGGACTACTGACCAATGGCATCGGCAGCGGTAGACCGGGCCGATTCTCACTCGGCTGGACTCTATTCCTCCCGCTCTTCATTTCGCTTCCGTTGCAGCTCACTCGCAGACTCCGTGTTGCTATCGAGGTTTCCGACTTCTTTCTTCAACCCTGTTGCTGCACAAACGTTTTCCTGACAGCAGGTTCTATTCTGTGCTCCCATCGATACCCGGGCCGCCTCCCGTCGACGGGAATCGAACGTGTCAAACTCTGTCGGATTGAGCCTCATTTCACACGGGAGAAGTCACAGGGAAATCGTGACTCGTCATAACAGTCACGGTTTCTCGAAATGTGGCACCTAGCAGAAAAAGGCTGAGGTTCGCGGGCTCTCGGAGAGTGGGTTCCGTTCAGAAAACCCAACGATGGGTGCAATCCCCTTCTCACCGCCATCCGTCGCTTGAAAGTCAGAGACGGCGCGCGCTATATAGGAGGCGATAAAGGAAAATTGCTCTTTGAACGCAAAACCAGACTTCGATATCCAGCCGACGGACCGACCGACCGAGCTGCCGGTCTGTCCGTCGGTCGGCGGGCGGGCCCAGCCGCTTGTCCAGCGATCGTCAGACGAATCGGTCTCTGCAGCTGCTTCTACCACTGCGGTCCGAACGGATGAGCTTCCCGAGCTGAGTTCGAAACTTCGTTCGCGCGGCGATTTTCCGACTTGATTCGTCTCCTCCTTCGTGGAGGAGACACCCCCAACGATTTCCAGCGGCATTCCATCGTTCGGTCCATCATTGCTTTGAGCTTCCCGGTCATCCATTGACCGACTGTCGAATCCTACAACCGATGGTGATTCACCAATCATCCGATCGCGATCCCGGGGATCCGAGGATCTGACGGAACTTAATATTACCAGAATAACGGGCTAGCCATTATTTCACGGCCAAAGGTCAGAGAGGGACAGACCCGATGTCGCCTAATCACCTTTTTCTTCATATCTTTTCAGCTCTCGGCGATAACTGCGCTTCAGATGAAGGGCCCATGTGCATGGCGAACTTGCAGAATCTCCAAGCGAAAGATGGGGGCGACGTGACGAAGCTCTCGGTCGCCGAGCTTGTGCAGAGATGTGCCGATCTACGGCGGAACATTGTGTGTCTCCTCACGCACACGCAGCGCTGCGTCTCGTTCGACGAACGCAACCAGCCTGCGAAGGTGATATTGGAGGCTCGCAAATACCTGAGAGCTGTCTGTGAGGCCGACGAATCAGTGAAAGGTAAGAGGGATATACGGTTTCTCTTCGATAATTATACTAATTTCGATTTCGAAGAGAACTCGAGATGATTCGCGAATCTATGTTAGTACCTGCCTAGAGTTAGCTCTCCGTGGTCAGGCTCTCGGTTACGTAAATCTGAGTCAATAGTGCTTACGTTGCTTTTTTCCCGCCCTCAAAAATGAAAGGGAAGAAATCTCGATCAGGGGGGGGCTATGTCTCACCGAGGGAATGACCTAATCAGGGGAATCTCGGCGAGTTTTTTCCGCAAAACATCCGCGAGGATCTGCGTTACCAAAGTCCCGGGGTCGGATCACAAGAATAGAATGTTCAGTGCGGAGCCGAGGGCCGTACTATTCGTTTCTCCCACGATGATCTGCCAGGCGCCGCGACGTCGTTCTATCAGGTCGGTCTCGTCTTCGCTGGTCTCCCGGTGCTCCTTCTCCTCTCCATCCTATTGGTAACGAACGGAAGCGTCACGGGAGTAGATGACGGGAGGAAGAGAGGGACGACAACGACTAAGGAAGAATAAAAGAGAACCGGGACGAGAAGGTGAAGTCGGATTCTTTGGATTGATTGAATTTCTACCTTCGTTCAAACTAATCTCGGGCCGTCATATGATGAAGCCCGTCCGCTCGTCGACTGAATACATGATGTCGAGGGAGATTGGGAGCGTCTGGAGGATTGTTTGCAACGAACAAGGAGCTGACAGCAACGCTGTCGGGTCGCTCGAGGGCCGACGAGGGAGGTTGTAGAGGATCGTCAGAGAGAATATCCAGTGGCGGGGAGCCCGACCTACGGAAGGGGGAAAAGGGGGGGGGGGCGGGTCGGTACGTAATCACTAGAGTCGCAAGAGCAATGGAGTCAGAGACGGTAGATCTCACAGAGACCAGCTCGGAACGCTTAGAGAGAGACAGCAACCTTCTGGGAAAAAGTGAAACCAGTGGGGATCGGGATCTGATTCAAGTAGCTAGGACCCGATAATTCCCAACGGAATGTTTCTTAGTATCAGCGAGAATTTTCCACCTCTCCATGCCCCCCAGCTCGCGCTGGAATCGCTCGACGTCAAAGTATCGTCGTGGGGCCGGAGGGTACATTAGGGTGCGTGAGATCATAGTGCACAGCGTATCGGAGGAGGCTCCCAAGCGGCGCTCCTTCTAATATGGACAAGATCTCCGTCTCGTCGAGCGCAGCGCTCGGGGCCGAGCGTGTGCCCCTGGAACCAAGAACCGAACGCCGGATGGCGCAGGTCGTTCAATATCCTGGTTGGCTTCACGGAGGAGGAGGATTGGGGGCAGGGGTTCGAGCATGCCGGTCTACCTTCAATGAGTTGAATTCGGGTGAGGTGATTTCTCCAGGGAGTTACTGTCTTGCTACCATCCGTCTGCTCGTTCCGACTACTACGGCTGCTACTAAATGTAAACACGTCGTTCCCGCGCTCGCCGCTCCGATGGGCTCGAACCTCGGATACCGCTGTTCTTCAGACCCTCCAACGCTTGTCCGATCCTCCGGGGCTGAGTCGCGTGCAGCCGAAGCTTCTCGGCTACCTTACGACTGCCTTCGGGCTCGTTCTTTGAGTTTCACGGTAGCGGCACGTCGACGCCTCAGGAGAACCGAGCGAATCAGGCAGCCTACCTACGACCTACCAGACAACTAGTCAAAGAGGCAGGGAGGCGCGCTTATTCAATTTGATGGCTGCCAGCAAAAGAAAAGGAGAGATGCTCTCCTCTCTGCCGCCGCCGCCACCGCCGCCAAAGTCGTCCATCCGTACGTCTAACTGTCTGTCCGTCGGTCGGCCCGGAATCCGACGCACGGCGGAATGGACCCGCCCGCCCGTTGCTTCGTCGGAACGTTGGTCGGCCTGCCGCCCGGACGGCCAGCCCGCCCGCTTGCTGGTTCGGTTTTTCCTTTTGCTCGGCCGGATCTCTTCTCCTGGGCATGTTCTTCTTACTCGTCCCTTGAGACCACCTTGCCTCTCAATGACGTAATTTGTCTTCCAGTCAGATCAGTAGCGGCCAGATAAGAAAGGGCAACAAAAAGCTTGCTCGCTGGCTCGCCCGCTTGCAGCCGCTTGCAGCCGCTTGCTGACTGAATCGCAGGCGAGGCTGGTCCCCTCCATGGCCGACATCCTGTTCTACCAATCTATTCATCTGTCCGGTCATTCATCTATTTTCGAAGCTGTCCGATATCGAGTCGAGCCGAGCAGAGCATACATATAGTCTGTTGACGAGCCGCTCAGTTGAATACGCTGAGCTCGATCGCGGACGATCGGTGCTCGTCCAAGATATCTTCCGAGTCGACCTTCCGCGAGAATATTAAATATCATATGATGATGTGATTACTGATTGAATCGAACGAGTCGACTCAAACTCAGTCGGGGAAAGAGGAATATTGACGAATTTCTTTCGCTTACAGCCCATTGGAAAGATAATAAATGCTACCGACAGGCTACACTGCAACGTTGCGATCGAGAGTTCCAAGAATTGATGCAGCATAAGCCCCCCCAGTACCCCCCCACGGAGAATCAATGCAGGTTCGTATCTACATTATCGGGGATTGGGAATCGTCCGATCGAGTACTTGGCGGGCGTTCCGTCGCGGATTTCCATGTATCGTTCGGCGATGGAAACCGCTTATTCGGCTTTAATCGCCTCAGCCTGTCCGGGCCGAATACACGGAGCGTCCCTCGAGACGGGAGGATTGATCCTGGCCGTCCGATTTGAGCTCTCTCAATGGTTTAGACCTAGCACGACTTTTTGAGAACAACAACTTTCGTTCCCCAGAAACTTTCACCAATACGAATCGTGCGTCCAGCGTACTGTGACATTGTGCAGCGACGATAGCGAAGAATTCGTGGCACTGTATCTCCTCGATAACGGTGCTCGTATGGCCTGGCTGTGCCCTCCGAGTGGAGATGACCAGGGACATCACCAGGCCAACGCGCTACCGGGACACCTGCCGTGGGACCCCCTGATGCCGCCGGGAGCAGGTGGCACCCAGCAGGGCAGTTCTAACGGAAAAAGTGAGTTGTGATGGAGAATCAGCTAGCACTCATCAATTTTGACTCCTAAATGGTTTCTTTAGATATACCCTTGGCTATCCACCTTGGACGCTTCTTTCTTTACCATTCCCCTACCTTTTCTGGTGTCTTTAATCAAGACTCGGTGCGCGGTTCTAACCCGGTCCACGCTTTCTAATCCTTTCTGGGAGTGCGTCTGGAATGCATACGTGAGTCTGTCTGGTGCTACGTCGGTAAGAACACGGTCGAACCCGAGGAGACGGCGATCAAGGTTGACCCTCTCGTGTCGTCCATGTTATCGTCCACGGAGTTCGTGTTGGTGCACTTATTCTTTTAGGCGGGGAGAGAAGAAATGGCAATCATATGTTCAAAGTTTCCGGGACGGGCCGATCGGCGATGCGTCAGGCTAATAGCGGCCGCGTCAGGCTCATAGCGGGCGCGTCAGGCTAATAGCGGGCGCGTCTGAGCCACGATATCAATGCGAGCCGTCCCCCGGAAATCGAGTCATTGTGCACCATCTTTCTCGGGTGCCCCGAGCCAGGGCGGAATATACGGAGAGAGATGATATTCATGATGTGGACTTGACCGGGAAGACCGTGAATCCCGGGATCTCATTGATCGAATGTCCTTGAATGTCTGAATCGAATGAAGAGGGAGGTCGGTGCGAGTGTTTTTTGTCGAGAGAATGCGAGCGGATGTGATCTCCCCTGGCAGAGAAGCTTCGGGTGTGCAGTTGCCGTTCGATCAGATTGCCTTTGTTTCAAGTCCGGATCCACGCGCGGTCCGTTCCCCCGCCCTCGCCCACCTATGATTTCTCCTCCTTCAGTGGAATCCCCTCACTTCTGAGGGGAGATATGACGGGATAACGGAACAGAATGCGGGGATGGACCACACGGATCCATGATGATGAAAGCGTTGTGTCAAGAGAGAACCATCTCAATCCTGACTATTCGCGGTCGGATTATGGGCTCCCTCTCTCGTTAGTAAAGACGGCGACGGGAGGCAACGGAGGCACCACGACGAGGGGTAATAGTCCCCCTTTAGCTACAAGCGACTCGCGAGCTCCTTTCCCCTCCCTACCCTACGCCTATCCCCGCCCCCATGGACGGTGCGCGACTTTCCGTGAGGGTAGCGTTTCCTTCGATGACCTTTCCCGTGCATTTGAACTTTTACAGTTCCTCTTATTTTGCAAAAAACGTCGCATGCGTGATCCGATCCCTTTCTGGAAAGCCGTTAGTTTCTGACTGCGTTCCCTTCGGGCCGGTTGTTCTAGATTCCGGGACGACAAGAAAGACGATGGCGGACATTCGACGAATTCCGGTCATTCGGGACACTCATTTCGTGCCCCCACACAAAATTGAAGGTTAGGAATCGAGAATGCGCTGCACTCAGATTAGGGATTCTTTCTCTAGTGGACACGAAACGTGATTTACAGAGATAGAGACAGCTCGTCGTATCGTAACAAGATAAAGCAATCGTGAATGACACCGTGAGAGAGGAAAACGATTCTAGTTCCATGAGCTGAACGCCCAGCATGAAACTCGCGTACATATCTCAGAGCTAGACTGTCGAGGTGTTTGCCTCGAATCATGCGGTATCGTTTTCAAGATATGCCTGAATGTGTTTCGCTTAAACCTTAGTGCGTAGGAAGTGTACTCGATCGCTCCATCCATCCGTAACTCTCTCATCTTTGCTAATCTCTACTGAACACAGAAACTTAGCTCAGGAGAGGAGAAACCTTCTCAGACACCTGTCGCCCCAGAAAGAGCAAATGAGCAAATCAGTATCTCTCAAGTCCGAGATCATGTATCATGAAAGCTAGGAAATTGGGATTCGGAACTCATACCCCTCAGTTTGAAGCGTCCCCTCCAAGAGGGATCCGTGCATCGATCGAATCTCCCTCTTGAAACAATCGAATACAGCCAGAAGCATTCACGGATCGCGTGAACTCCCGGGGTTCGGATCCGAATCGATCAGGAAACTCGGAAAAATATTTTAGGTCTCCTCATTAGCTGTCTGGCTGAGAGTGAGTGATAGCAGCGTTTACCTGAATCTTCACCACCTATCATGCCATCTTCCTCTCGTCTTCCTTGGATGCCGTCCTTAATCATCTAGCAATAGAATTCCTTCGAGTTTTCATCTTTGATCCTGATACTATATATTTATTTATTATACTATTCATTTATTTATCCATTATACCGTATAGTTTCCCTTTGCCCTTATAGTCCCCATGTTACTACAATCTCGATCCCCTCAGAACCTGAGTTTGGTTTGTTTCAGTTTCGATAAGTGACTTGATTGACCATGGCACACCGTCCCGCCTTGACGAACCCACACATTCATTTCATGATAGTAGTCACGTAGACCTCTCTAACCCGTCCCGACCCAGCAAGTTGCAAGTTGCTGTGAATGAAGATCACAATGGTGGTCATGAGAATGTCATGTCGTTCAATCCCGTTGTATCCAGGATCGCCAGAGACGTCAACGCCGACGGAGCAGCTCCGGACGATTCGGAGGTGGCGGATGTCGGCTCCGAGCCTTATCCAGAATACTCAGAATCCGATTCCAAGCAAGGTACAACAAGTCATTCAAGTTACATCTGAACTCCGTTCATATCATAACGTCATTCGATCGCCGGCAGAAGCGGGTAAACTTCTTTCTGACTTGAAACGATGAGCTCGGCGTCACTGCGGCGAAATCACCACCAAAACCACCACCTGTGACCATCTGTCGTCCGGTTGACCCTCGGCGTATCAGATGGTGGAGCATGTTGTTGTTGTTGTTGTCTAGCACGAATCGCGCTTGCCCGCTCAGAGGCAGCTTCTACTCGTTTAGGATAATAGATTTGTTTGCATGTGAATGTTAGTGCATCGTCTGCGGTTGGTTGGTGTAATATTTGAGCGATGGCTTCAACTCCACCAGAATGCCGGTGGATATCGAGGCTCGTTGCTTCGTAGCTGATCGAGTGGGATCTAGCCGGTCCCAGCGATCCGCTGGTAGATTCATTGGAATCGGCCAAGCTGACACAATGGCCACACAGCTGCGCTGAGACCAGCCGCTGGTCTCTCACGTTCAAGTTGCCTCTCTCCTCTCTCTCAATGAAGCAGTCCCATGAAGTATTAGTCTAACTTCTTCTTTCATCGCCACAGCTGCGCTTTCTGGAAGTTCCGGGAGCACCTGCGTGAAGCTCATCCAAGGCGACATGAGGCGCTGCCGTAACCGTTACCAGCGGCAGGAGAACGAACTGAGAAAACAGCATACACGAAATAAATCGACAACCGTCGCGAGCGATGCCCAACAGGTCGGAGACAAAAAGATTTGTTGGTGAGTTTGCCTCCCGGTCTCCAGTCGAGACAGTCGAGCGGCAGGTCGTTATTCGTTTTGTTTACGGTACCTCTTTCGAGGAGATTGGATTCTAAGTTTGGATTCTGTTCTGAGGGTTGAAGCCATTGGAAATATTCCGCTCTGAAACCGTCTTTTCCCGCTTCCAGCGCCTTCGGAACGTACATTCATTGCCTTCAAACAGCCGTGCAGACTCGTTGTAGTCAAGACCGAGAAGCGTTGGTCGATACGGTAATTTCGCAAACGTCGAAACTCATCGGAGTTCACTGCGAAGAATACTCCTACGGGAGTCCGAAATGCTCATCGGGAGCGGCATCGTTTTCTCCTGCGACCTCCACATGTCTAGTTTTCCTGTTAGCAGTATCTCTACGATATTTGGCAGTCCGATGTGCTTTATTGTAAAGGAAGGGTCTATCAAAACACTGCCTTGTCTCCACCTCCTCCCTATCTCGAATTCCTCGACTGTACAACTCACTCACCACCTTCGTCGTCGTTTTCGACGGCGAGGCTGCAGGTCTTCGGGCCACTCGGGAGTTTCTTTCGAAGATCACAGGGGCTTCGAGCGCCTTTGTCGATTTTGAGCGGATTCGAGCCAGCTCTCGAACCGATGCGTGGATAAATGAATGTTGTATGATAGGAACGATCGCCTCGACGGAGGAAGGTTGGGAAAGAGAGAGCAGAACGCCATTAGACGTGTTGATGATGAATTGTGATGATAATCTGGAAACGGAATGAGTTTATGGATTGGACCGCTAGGTTCTGGTGGGGCTTCGGCCTGAACGGATGACCCTAGACGGTTCAGTACTGTGCATTTAAACTATGAGATATATTTAGCCTCGGTCAGCCTTTTTCAGTCGAGGGATTGCTGACGCTCTGCCGCTCCTGTTGGAGGAGATTACGGGTTCCTAGCAACGACCGAACCCCCGCCCGCCCGATCGCGAGCGCCCCTGAGTTCGAACGCCTCCTATGCCCGCTATGTATCTCTGGCTGGTCCTTCCGTCAACTCCCATACAGGAGCTCCGATTGGCAAGTGCAACTCCGCGGTTGGCTATCGGATGCCGCCTATTTTCCTCCTCGGTCTTTTCGTCCGGCGAATTCCCTTACATTCGGCGGCTTTCACTTGACTCGAATCATGTGGAAGCCTACGCAGCCGAATGGTGGAATCGGAGATAACCTTCCTGATTTTCTAACTTAGAGATCCCCCAAATTCCATGGCGTCGATTCTGGCTCTGTGATCGAGGGTGGAATCGAATTCGGCAGAGCGATAGATGGTCAGATGGTTGCGTGAGTGCTGCGAGGATCGTTCTGCGAGTTTTCATCTCGATTTCGAGGGCAGAAAGACAAAGCGAGACATGAAACATTCCTCCGTGTGTTACACTCGTCAGAGGCGTTCGACGCAGTGATGTACGGCTTGCGATCATCATCATCATCATTGGGTCACTTTTGTGTGTATGTAATCATGAATGGAGTAATTCGTTCATTAACTTTGCTCGCGCCATCGGTGATGGAATCATGGCGATTGTCTTTCTCAAAGAACTGGAAACCAGTTTAGATAAATCGGTTCTCTCGCGCTTCGTTCCTCCGCTCAATCTTAATGCAGGAACTGGGACATGCATGTTAACCGCGGGATAATTCGTCCCTTGTGTGAACTCCACGGATTAAGAATTGAGCAGAATTCCCGCTGAGAAACTTCCTCAGAAGAGAGAAATTCCTCTCAGACGCAAGATGGGAAGCGATGCGCGATTCGAAGTCGGAACCGAACAGTTAGGAAACGGCTCTCACAACGAAAAAATCAAAATGTCTGCTCGTGACGAAACAGCTCGAAGGACGTGACGAGAACCTTGAACGAACAAATTCTCACTCCGAATTTCCTTGCATTCGGCGAAGGTGTCCGCCTCCCAATTGTAATGGATGACGACGAGCTCCTCGGTCGGGGTTTTCTTCCCCTGGAGCTACCCCTCTGTAAATATACTTACGAAAATGCATAAATACGACCCTTAAACAAACAAACAAACTTACATAGCTAATTACAACAAACATCGTATGAACCACATACGTGCATACAGACAGACTCGGCGAGCACGTATGCAAGGGAAGTAAGCTCTTGCCAGTGCTCGTGTCAACCTCAGTTCGGCGGAATTAGTCGCATTATAATGCGCATAATCAATTGGCTCATGTCAGAGAAACCTGAAATCGCAACGATTTGTCAACGAAACTCGAAAAAAGCGTTCGAGCGACCGATGTTTAGATCGATATGTTGACCACTCACCAACAACATATTCTATTCTGCCGTTTGTGATAGTGAAGTCTTCTTTTTTTCGCACTCAATGAGGGAATCTCTTTTTCTCCATTAATTCTGTTCTCCGATAGGACCTCTTATCGATTCAATGCCGTATAGAGCCACGATCCTAGTGAATTCGGGCTGTGATTCGGATCCAGAGTTCCCGTCTGCGTTGGAAACCAGCCAATCAAAGCATGCAATGGTCGCTCGGGGCATCCGTCCTCGCGATCACAGGGAGGAACTGGTAGAGATTACTGCCCGGTGCCGGTCCGTTGTACTTAAACGATATTTTCGCCTTTGGTTTATCATCGTCACTGGTCGTCGTTGAGTGTCCACGAACGTTGTTCTACTTTTCCCGCTGTTTGCCCCTTATGAAAGCGACGAAGGAAACTGCTCACTCCGATCAGTTCTTTTCCCACGATGTTGGCTACGGCTGGCAGTCAACTGTTATAACATTATATTACTATTATATGATTATCATTGATATGATTGAGGTGAACTCGAGAGTAGGGTATGATGACGGTGATCACGCTTGTGACGAAGCACGAGCGACACCGTCACCGGTGTCAGATCACGGGACGGCCTAGCCCATCCACGATGACGTCAGCGGCGACACTCCGAATGACGGCCCGCTGGGAAAAGCATAAAGTAAAGTATTGAGGAGTTAGCGAGTCCGGAGACTATCTCATTTTTCGGAGAAGTCGGATTCGTGACCTCTCGTTCAGCTTGGAACACGACGACGACCATCTCGTGTCACGGAGGGACAGAATTAGAGAAGCTCCGGCGAAGGGGGATTGGGAACGAATTCACCCGAGTCAGCTCCTCAGCCGAAAGTCTTTAAAATCCCTTCCTATTGGTTTTTGAAATACATCGGGAGCTGGATATGATTGCTGTCAATGCGGTTGTTGTCCTCGACGAAATGGTGGAAGCGGTAGTGGTAGACTTCCACACCCACAGCTCGAGCGGTATGTTTGTTGGATAAGCGGATGATGTGAGCAGGGAGAGGATTGAGAATCAGGGAAGAAGCAACTGTTGAACTAAGTCCAGTGAATTCAGAATCTAGTGGTTTCTGGAGCAATGTGTCTTTTCGCGTTTTCCATGACCTCAAATATCGGAGCGATCGTCTGAGCCCTGATTGAGGGTACTGAGTACGATCGCAGGAGTTTCTTATCACAATAATCTCGATTCCTGTCTCGATGATTTCGAGTATTACGACACGGTAACCATGGTTTGCTGGATTTGGAAGCTATTCGTCTATGTGTGCATCATTTCGCCTCCCATTTCCGATTCTGAAACTGTTTGAAAAACTCCGGAATCATGTGGAAACGCCGTGAACTCACAGGCTGGACAACAAAGTGAATGTTAGAGCATGATCGATTGGTTTATCGAGCGATCGACGGATTTCTTGAACAGACTTCGAACTGAATTATTGTGGTTAAAGCAATGAGAGCAATAAAATTATTTGTACAAAATAGAAATTCGCGCTTCTTCCCTCCCGCTCGAAAGTTCCACATCGACCAGACGATCTCAAGGTTCCGGCAGGTGGTCTACCTTTGATAGACCGGACACGGTGGATTTCGAGGCGAGGACCTCGAGAGCTGCCACGACCGTCGGTGTGAGAGGAGAGATGGACGGCCGAGAACCGCACCGGCGGCAATGGGGCTCAAACTCTCGACCAGCCAACCGAAGGACGGCCGACAGACAGACAGACAGATAGACGGAAAGACGGACAGATGGACCGACTAGCAGGCGTACCGAGCGAGCGAACCCAGCTGTTTTCCCTCCTGCTGCTTCGAGGGTAATATTTTTTACGCCAAGTTAATTCCGTCTTTGCGCCGCTCCGCCGCCACTATGAAGACCCGTCTTTCCAGCGTTCGCCCCCTCCCCCTCTTCCCTCGGCACCAACATCAGGAGCAGCAGCACTGCAGCAATGAGCAATCCTCAGGGTAACATTTGAGCCCGGTGCAAGCCCTACGATTCCTTTCGCCCGTTCAGCCACTCGCTCACTCGGTGCCCTCAGCGCTTCTCATTCAGTAATTGCCATCGAAGGGCAACGAATAAAACAACGAGAAGTGAACAGCCTGCCGTCGACTCACTCGAGGAGGAAACTATCCTTTTCAATAGGCTGGCGGACCGGCATTCTCGCCGGCTTCGGTTCCGAGCCAATCGATTCTCATCAAGGAGCCATGCTCCGGCTCCGGGGAGATCCACCAGAATTTTTCCTCCGATGTCGACAGATTCCGACAGACCGAGCTCGGTCTTGAAACATCGATGGCGTTCATACGAGCTCCTCGAGGAGGATCTGAATGAGCCCCGGGTCTCCACGGAAGAGAAACTGAATCCCGATGTGTTGAATATAAACGACACCTCACATGAATAAAAAGAGACTTCCCATGCAAATGAGCATATCGGTCGGTCTCGCATGAGTCCAACAAGCATGTCCAGAATAGAGACCACGGAACCACGAAGAAGAGCTTAGTTGGGCAAAGATTCAAGACGGGAGCAGCCGGCCGACTGGGAGCAACGGAGATTGAATGAAAGAGATTCCATTTTCAGCGAGGAGGTCATCGAAGATCAGCAACAGCTGTTGCTTGCGCCAGTCCACCCGCTTGCCCATCGAGACCCTCGGTCGACTGAAAAATATTCATTTCTTTTCCCGCCTCGTGGGCTTTTTTTTATCGACCGACTCCCCCTGTCTGGCCTTCTCCCCGCCGGCCATCGAAACCCCAATTCCCACCCTCGATCTGCTGGTTCGGAAGCCCCGATACACTGCCCGTAGGGTAGATCGGTCGGTTGTCTGAGGAGGATGGCTCTCATTTCCTTCATCGTCGCTGCTGCCAGAGACCAGAGATCCATCCAAGGGCCCTGATTAATCATTAAGGTTACGCGAAGGGCCTGAGAAAGCTGGAGCAGGGAAAGTTTGCGAAGGTGATGAGGAGCCGACATCACTCCACATAAAAACAGATCACACCGGTGGGATACACGCCTAGTTCTCTCGGTTCCGATCCCGTCCCCCCCAAAATGGAGCAACTCGTGAGAGCTCGAAGGTCGAATACTTCCGGAGATTCGATTTAGTCTATTTGTCCAGCTAGAATTCCTCACCCCTAGGAGTGCTTGACCC